CGCTGCCTCTCGCACACACCGGCTCCGGGACACCGGGCTGCAACCAAGTGCCCCTGACTGTGCTTTCTCTTGTTGGGCCCTCTCCGCCGCCTCCCTCACCTGGGCATGGCTGTCGCAGTAGCTGGACAACGGTAACATTGGTGAAGACGATGTCGCGCTTCGACATGGTCTCCTAAGGTCGCATGGCCCAGTCGTCCCGGACCCGCAGTGATGTTACTGAGATGCCGGGCACTGGGCGAGCCTGGAGCTCCGGGTTGTGACGCCACAGCGTCGTGTGACGTCACAGACGGTGCTGCTGCGCGGGGAGCAGCGGTCTCATCAGGCTGGGTGTTAACCGGGATGGAAACTCAAGGGGTCGCTCTCCCGCCTCTTCCCCACGGGCCTCCTCCCCACCCACCCCCACCCTTTTTAAAATAAGCTGAACTGAGGGTCTGAGGCTGTAATTTTTACTGCAGTAGAAAGCCCCACTGTCTTTATTTCCCCTCTCTTTCTTTGGGGTTGTACAATCATGACCACAATCAATTTTAGAACATTTTCTTCTTTCTTGTCATCCTTGTATTAACTTCCCATTTCCCCAACTTCCCTTTCCATACCCCTAAGAAACCAGACGGCAGTCAGAAACTAGACGGCGGTCACTGTCTCTAGATTCACCCACCCTGGGCTTCATATACCGGAGAACACACACACACACACACACACACACACACACACACACACACACACAGAGCTAACAACAATAACAAAATAAAATGGAGAGAAACCTCAGTTGAAAAGCAGAAAATCTTAAAAAAAAACAACGAGAACTTAAAAATGGATCAAAAGGGACATCAAGTGATAAGGTGTTAGATTTTAACCTAACTGCGTCTGCCATCATCCATGTCCCCATGCTCTCTGTCTGTGGCAAGTCTCTCCACACCCCTTGTGGTAGTTACCTAATCTGGTGTCAATTTGAGGATTGGGGGGATAGGGGTGGAGTCTAGGCTGTCAATCAGGATATAGCCAATGAGGCCTCTGTGTGGGCATGGCCTTCTCCTAAGGATTCTGGGAATTCTTGGATTTCCTCCTTGGAGGCAGGAGGCTCTCTGTGAGACATCCCCAAGGGGAAGCTACCTGGACCTACCCTGATGCAGCCCAGAGAACTGGAGGAGTCACCTGGAGACCCCTGCCAGCGCTGAGATGCTTACAATGCCACTGGCTCCACAAGACTTCCAACCACTGGCCTGTGATCTTCCTGCATTTGGCACCATTGCATGTGCTTCTTGAGTTTGAAGAAGACTTTACAGATTAGTATCAGACATATGGGCTAATATCAGACTTATGGACTTGATCTGAACTGGGCTGGGATGCTTTCTTTTTTTTGGGGGGGGTGCTTTCTTAGTGTACAATTACCCTTTATATAAAACTCTCTTATATATACATGAATGTTTATGAATTTGTTTCTCTAGTCTATCCAGACTAACACACCCCTGGTCTGTGTTCAGAGGGGATTCATCAGAAACTTCCTCTATGTGTGGACCCTGTGAATGGATTTGGGGCGTCCACTGTCATCCATATCCTTCTGCAAACCAGGGGTTCACAATTTAATCTCTGGTACCATTCCCACCTTTAGATTGGGTTTTTATTATTTACAATCCTTGGATCAGACAGGATGGTGTGCTTCATTGATGTGGACTTGGTTGATGCCTCACTCAGCTGGTTGCTTGTTTGAAGACAAGAATTTAATATCTGGAATGGACAACAGAAAAGTGGGTGAAGGGAGACGACAGGCAGTGTAAGACATGACAATTATAATTGATAAATTATCAAGGGCTCATGAGGGAGAGGGGGGCGGGAAGGGAGGAGGAAAAACGAACTGATACCAAAGGGCTCAAGTAGAAAGCAAATGTTTTGAGAATGATGAGGGCAACAAATGTACAAATGTGCTTGACACAATGGATGGATGGATGGATTGTGATAAGAGTTGTACGAGCCCCCAGTAAAATGATTTTGAAAAAAAGAATTTAAGACCCCAGGTGCTATTTTTTCTGATAGTGGGGCACCATCTAGTTTCTACACCACCCTTTTCTATAGCACCCATATCTTTAGTAATCTCATGAGAAAGCCTTGCTTTTCTCCCTTGGAACCACTGCTGTTAGGTTATCAGCCCAACACATAACCCACTTCCCCACCAGTGCTCTTCATGGACTCCATAATAATGCTTGTTATTAATTTTAATGATTGAATATATGGTAAGCCTAGTTGTAAATTGCTTAAGCCTGCTATTTCTTAGATGATACAAATACTAACAGCAAAATTATTTTGTACAATGTTTCTATATTGAAATGTAAGGAAAATCCTAAGAGGGAATTTTAACCCTTGGAAAAGAAACCCAATACACTTCCTTATTCCCAGAAAGCACCCATAGCCAGCCCCCCATCCTCCTTTACGAAGGGCTACGTCTACAGTAGAAATCCCAGCCTATTCCCCTTCTGTGACCTTGCTTGTGCAGATCAGATCTCAAAGCTATGCTCGCCTGACATTCAGGGCCCAGGTCTTCTGGAATGCTTGTTCCTCTGTGTGTGGAACCAGCCTCCACAACTGAATGGGTTGTGTAACTGAGAGGTAAATTAAAGAGACCTGGGACAAGGCATGCAAGGACTCACCTCTTCCATGACGACCGTAATCAGAACAAGGCCGAAGAAATTAGGGGACAGACAAAAGATTTGGGAGTGCTTCCCTCTGCCATGGCTCCAGGAGCCAGGTCCAAGCAGATACAGAGAGTGTAAAGTGTTCTCTCATGAGCTTATGTAATCTCGGACATGCAAACCACATTAAGAACATAGGTAACAGGAAGGAGTGGTGTCAGAGGCATACATGTAACATGATGGAGACAAGCTAGGGGTGTACATGCAATTGGAAGGGGAGGCGCTAGAGGCATCCATGTGGCAGGAAGGTACATATGCAACAAGATGGACAGGCTCTAGAGCACCATAACATTGTTTTCGTTGCTACTTCATAACTGTAATTTTGCTACTGTTATGAATCGTAATGTCAATATCTGATATGCAGGATATATTTTCATTGTTCCAAATTGAACATAATTAAAGCATAGTGATGAATCACACAAACAATATGTAATTACATATTGTGAAATATTTATTGCTAATTACAAATAAATGGAATTTTGTCTTGAAGCATGGTATAGCATGGGTAACAGTCTTAATGTAACAACAGTAAACTACATTGCTACATTTTGCTACAGTATGGGTAAAAAGCCAACATCAGCGTGAAGGTTGAGGTAGCTTCTTTCTCACCAGATCAGAAATTCTGGGGGCAGTCTTTGCAAGAGCACAATGAAGATCATCTTCCACAACAAGTCCACTTCTGCATTTAGACTTGATAACCAACAAGCAGGAAAACCCTGTTTCACAAAGATACGTTGTTGGAAATGGAAGAAGAAGGCGCAACACAGTCTCAGACAGAACAGGACATGACTGCAGACACTTGATCCAGAATTTTGTAACTGGCATTGTAGAGAAATCAGTTCTCACTGCATCGCTGTTAATAAGTTCAATGAATTCCTCTTGTGCTGTCTCAGGAACATCTTCAACTTTGACTGTGAACGGGCTTCTGACAAGTGCAAATGGGGTGTCAGGTAGATGTGGAAAGTACGGTGAAATGTCGTCTGCAAGCACGTGCAGGTGTTCTTTCACAGAAATTAGCACCGTAATCCGTTTGTCTGGTTCAATGTCATGTTCCTCAAAGAAAGCAGATAAGGTAGGCAGCATGTACATTTTATTTTCATCCAATTTTTTTTTGGGGGGGGGGCAAAGCTGAAGTTTCATTTGGAATGATCGGATCCTTTCAGACAAATCGAGGCATGTTGCATTTGATGCTTGCAGTGATAAATTCAACTCATTCAAGATGGCAAAGATGTCAACCAAGTAAGCTATTTTCTGCAGTTCAATTTATTGCTGAAAAGTGCTTCGAACTGTGGTCTTGCTCTGGTTAAAAAACGTTTTGAGTTCATCACGAAGCTCAAAAACACGTTATAAAACGTTTCCTCTTGACAACTACCTCACTTCAGTGTGCAATAGCAGAGCATTATTCAGTGCATCCAATTCGTTGCACAGTTGTGAAAACAGTTAAGTGTTTAAAGTGCTTGCCTTTACAAAATTGACAGAACGTATGACACTTTTCATTACTTCTTGTAACTCTTGTGGCAGCGTCTTTGTTGCTAACATTGGCAGATGAATCATACAGTGAGTTCTGATGACTCTTGGTGACTCATTCAGTACCAAATGTTGAAATCCAGATCGACATCGTAGCATGGCTAGAGCACCATTTGTGCAAACACCACAAACCTTTTCCCAAGAGATCTTATGCTCTTTCAGAAATGAACCAACTGTCAAATACATCACGTGCAGTAGTTGTCGTTTCAAGAGGTTTGCAAAGCAGAAACTCATCTTTAAAGTTGTCATCAATAATATACCTCACATAAACCAGTATCTGTGAACCGTTTGCAATGTCTGTGGGTTCATCAGGCTGGATGCTGAATATTGGAAGTGGAGCAGATTTAATTTCCTGGATTACCTGATCAAGAATACCAGTAGACATGTCATCTATTCTTCTGCCGACAGTGTTGTTAGCTATGGAAATTGCACTCAATTTTGCAACAAATTCATCTCTGATCATAACACGAACAATGTCTTTGGCCACTGGCAACAGTAAATCCTCAGCAATGGGGTGAGGTTTCATAGCTCTGGCGATTCTGAGTGCCACCAAATAGGAAGCTTCAATGGCTGCTACATTTTGTTTGTGGTACTTGCCACCAGTGTCAAATCTGGCTTTGCTTCATCAACTTTGCTTCTAAAATAGTTGGTTCCTTGCCGGCAAAGCTCAAATGCTTGCTATCAAAAAGACGTTTTAGTTTGTTCTGCTTCATAGATTTGGCTGATAGAACTTCACAACAAATAATACATTGCGGTTTCTCAATTCCTGCTGTAATTTATTGAGGTAAAACCATACTGTAAAAAATCCTCACTATATTTTCTTTTCTTAACGTTCTTCTCTACACGATCCATTGTCATGGGATAGTTTGCTAATGAAAATAATATATAACAATAGCTTTAATAATACAAAAGATGATACATCGCATAGTTCAGTCAATACAGTTCATTCAAGTTT